AATAGCGTTAAGAAAGCTTTATTGATTTGATGCTAAGTGTTTTCGCCAGAAAGTTGCGGATCCCCTTTTCAAGAGGAGCACAAGAGTATTTATACAAGTCTAAGTCGGCTAGGTCTAACAAATAAGAGATAAGGAAGTTTTCCGTATTTCTCGAGATTTCCTATTTCTCGTAGTCGGTGCTTGCCACGTGCTTCGCCATCTTGGGCCTGATCTTGCCATCTCGTCACGTTGCCACCCTGCCAATTTGGGCTTATGTTCTCGGCCCAACTTCACATAGTCGGCCCAAATAAGTTAATATGGATCGACTTCGTCGAGCTTTGTACTYCGCRGGTGTCACGAGGGTTCGTGGTCGGCTCAACTGGTGGTTGGCAGTGGRAGTAGTCGGTAGAAGTGGAGAAGTCGGCAAGAGGCAGAAATGGTCGGCGGATCGTGTCAGTGCTAGATGAAACGAGCTACTCTGGCAAGTTGTCCAGGTCTTCAGAGTGYACTWGGCACCTTTCCATTTATATTCATTTCTATACTTAGCCATTTTACAAGAGAAAACTGTCGGAGGGAGTTTTGACCCCAACAGTTAGRCCCCCAGCTTGGTGGTATTCYTTAGGAGAGTGCCAAGRTTAAAGATAATTRAAGATGAGATCGATGCTACCAGACTTAACCTCGTGTCAAAATGGCGCCAAGTCAAGACGTTCTTGTTCCCGATTGCTCCACCGGACTAACTTGCCTCCGTAAGCATCGTAGCTTGATTTACGCTTGCTTTGCCGTGTTAACTAGCCTTGTATCTACTGAGATGTTTCTGTTTTGTTAACTTTGCCGAGTTTACATGCTTCAGGAAATGCCTAACCCGACAATTTTTTTTTTTTTTTTGAGCTTGTTCCGTGCAAGCTGTACGGATTCGTGCTTTATGCATTGTTTCGTATTCCGTCATTGTCAAGTTTACATGTTTCGGAATGCTTAACTTGACAATTGTGCACACTTAGTAAAAATTTCTATTTCTTCCGAAAATCGAAGCTTTGCGTTTTCCTGTTTCGCGTAGGAGACGAAATGTTAAATCCCCAATTCCCGAGATATAAAAATATCGTTGTGATTTTTGGACTATACAAGTCTCCAACCTTCTTTTCTTTCCTCACAACTTCACTTCTCCAAAAAAAGAAAAAAAAGGTATTCTCTCTTTCTCTCCTCTCTTTCCTGCCTTCCCG